TCGATATGCCTGGCCTGGGCTGCGATCGCTTAGATTGCCACTGAGTTTGTCTTAGTGCCGCCCGCAGGGCACGGAGCTGGCTCATACGATTCAGGGCCAATGTTGTATCAGCTTTCCCTTGTTCCCCTCTTCCTGCTCCTCCTCCCCTCCTCCTCCTCCTCCTCCTCCTCCTCCTCCTCCTCCTCCTCCTCCTCCTCCTCCTCCTCCTCCTCCTCCTCCTCCTCCTCCTCCTCCTCCTCCTCCTCCCCCTCCCCGTAGCCATTCTGGCTCAAGATGATGACCTGGGGAGCTGCCCAGCCTCCAGGCCGGAGAGGGCCCTCTGGACCGAGGACAGACCCCCGACGGGCGTCGGGCGCGCGCGCGGCACCGCAGCAGCCGCGGGGCGTGGCGGCAGCGGTCGCGGGGCGGGCAGCGCCTGGACGGGGAGTCCGCATGGCCAGAGCCCCCCGTGGAGGAGCGGCAGCGGGGGCCGTCCTCCGCGCAGCAGCTATGCGGCGCGCGGTTGTGGCAGGTGGCGCCACTGCAGGAACATCGCCAGCAAGGGCGACCTCTGCATCTGCGGCAGCAGCCTCGGCAGCCTCGCTCCCGAAGGCCACGTCTACAAGGATGACGAAGGAGGAGCTCTGGCAGGCAAGCCTCAGGGGGGGGGCGCGCCAAGGCTCGCATGGGCTGATGGGTGGCAGCCGGGAGGCAGTGCAGGAGGAGGTGACAAAGCTGGCCATCGAAACCACATGGTCAGCCCCCAGGCCGCAGCGGCCGCAGCCTACAACAAGCTCAGCGAGGACGTCCCGCTCAGGGCCCACTGCGAGGCGCTCTGGCCAGACCTGGCCGCGGCCACGCCGTGCACAGCAGGGCCAGTCGGACTCGAGGCAGTGGAAGCCGCCGCCAGAAGGCTGGACAAACTCCAGAAGAAGGTGCGAGCAGCAGGAGAGCAGGTGGAAAGCGCCAAGCAGTACCTGGTTGAGAGCGAACGCAAGCTTCACGACGCCATGGCAGCCTCCATCGTCGCAGAGGAAGAGTTTGACACGCTCCAGGCCCAGGTCGGAAAGGCCGAAGCGCCAGCAGCAGAACAACCTGGGGCAGAGAAGACGGCACTGGCATCCCTCCTGGAGCAGTTCGCGAAAGAATCAGACGACTTCCACAAGTGGGCTGAGCCTGAAAGAAGCCTGGCGAGCAGCAAAGGCAAAAGGCGAGGCAATGGCGCAGAAGGTCAAGGAGCACGAGGCGTAGACGGCAAAGCACTTGCGGCACCTGGAGGAGGAGACCGCCAAGCACCAGGAGCAGCTGCGCCAGCTCGAGCAGGCGCGCACAAAGCGCCAGACGGAAGCACAGGAGCCAGGAGGTGAAGAAGAACAAAGGGCTCTTCCAGGAAAGAAAATCTGCCCCAGCCCCACGCCGCAGCGAGGCCTGCCAAGAAGAGCCGCAGCCTCAGGGTCAGCATCAGCGGCCACGCTCACCGGCGCCGCTGAGGCCGACGCAGCTGAAGCAACCAGAGTCGGCGCAGACAAAGAAGCAGATCGACGAGCCCGAGTGGACACGCACACCCAGCAAGCACGTGAAAAGGTTGCGCAGGCTAAGAGGGCGGACAAGGTGGTCGCGGAAGGGACAGGAGAACCCCCGTCGGGGTAGTCGGCTGAGGGCGAGCAAGAAGAAGGCTCGCCGTCAGTTCAACGTGGACTTCTTCAACATCACGACCTGGGGCCCGCAGGCCCAGGACTACTTCGAGGAGATCAGCAGCGCCAAGGACAGGGGCATCAGAGGCATTGCGGAGCATCACCTCCGCCAGCCTGCGCAGATCAGCAGAGCGCGAGCAGCGCTGCGACGGCGTGGCCTGCGCAGCTACTGGGCTCGAGCACGGCCGGGAGAAGGTGATGGCACACGCGGGGGAACTTGTGCAATCGCCAGAGGCTCGCTCGACTTACAGGATAGGCTCGCAGGCTTCGAGGAGAATTACCTCAGCGAGGAGGGCGGTGACATCACGGTCGTTATGGCCCACCTCCGCCAGGTGCGCTGCGCGGTAGCCGTCATCTACCTGGAGTGCGGCAAGGGCCTCAGCGACAGGAATGTGGACATCCTCTGCGACCTGAGAGAGAAGATTGCAGTCTGGGGGTGCCCCTGGGCAGCGATGGGCGATTTCAACATCGCGCCGTCGGAGTTCAACGACAGCATTTGGCCAAGGGTGTTGAATGCGCAGGTGGTGGCCGCAGAAGAAGGAGCTCCCACCTGCTTTCCAGCAGAAGGCACGGCGCGCTGCCTAGACTACGCGCTGGCATCGCAGGGCCTTGCCCCCTACTTCGATGGCCCTCAAGCTGACAGGAAGACCACTTCAGCTCAAAGGAAGAGCACTACGCCGCCCAGCAGCCATCAAGCCGCCAGTAACCGCCGAGAGGATGCCCAAGTCGCGGGCAGCCTGTCGCCGCGCAGCCAGAGGAGGGCAAGAGGCCATGGGGAGGAGACGCCAAGCCCTCGCAGAGGCAGGCTGCGAGGAGGCCGAACACGACATGGAGCCCGTGCCCCAGTTGTACTACGACAAGGAGGCCCAGCACGTGGTCACAGATGAGCTCTGGAACGCCGCAGCCGAGCAGGTCAGAGCGAAGGTGCGAGAAGAGCTCCCACCACACCTGCAAGGCACCGTCATCAGCAAGCTCATGGAGCAGGACATGCTGGAGTTGGGGCAGCAGTGCGACCTCTTCGCGGGAACCCTCGAGCTCAGCCTGTGCGAGAGCATCGGCATCCCAGCAGACCAGCGGGGCAAGCACATGGGCCATGGCCGCCCCCCGACTTCAAGAGCGCCAGCATCAAGGGCGCGGTCTCAGCCACCCCATGGGCAGGAGTGGAGCGCAACATCCACGCCTGGTGGTCGGATGTAGCCTCGCTCGTTCGCCAGCTTTCACATCATGATGCACGTGCGCTGGGCGTTGCCGTGAAAGGCCAGGGGCAGAACCAACAGCACCAGGCTGTGCGAGCAGGCGATGGAGGAGGCAACGTCAGCACCAGCGCCATGGGCCTGCCCCACAGCAGACCAGACAGCGGCACGGACGGGACGCAGAGGGGCGCCCGCCCCCCACCAGCAAGACGGAGCACCATGGACATGGATGACTACGACCCCCCCCAGGACGAGGAGGGCAGCGAGGATTGCCTCCAGCAGCCCGCAGATAAGCAGGACGGCGAGGATAACCACCAGCAGATCCCAGATGACCAGGACAGCATCGGGCGCCACCTGGCAGACCGCAGAGGACCCCAGCGCAGCGAGGGGTTAGGCCACGGAGGACCCCAGCGCGGCGAGGGGTTAGACCGCAGCAGGCCCCCGCGTGGCGAGGGGTTAGGCCACGGGGCACCCCGGCGCGGTGAGGGGTTAGACCGCAGGGGCCCCCAGCGTGGCGAGGGGTTGGGCCACGGAGGTCCCCAGAGCGGTGAGGGGCTAGACCGCGCCGACCCCCAGCGTGGCGAGGGGTTGGGCCACGGCGGGCCCCGGCGCGGTGAGGGGTTGGACCGCAGCAGGCCCCCGCGCGGCGAGGGGTTAGGCCACGGAGGGCCCCGGCGCGGTGATGGGTTAGGCCGCAGCAGGCCCCCGCGTGGCGAGGGGTTAGGCCACGGAGCACCCCAGCGCGGTGAGGGGTTAGACCGCAGGAGCCCCCAGCGAGACAACGACCCCTTCCAGGGCGAGGAGGACAGCGAGGATTGCTTCCAGCAGCCCGCAGATAAGCAGGACGGCGATGATAACCACCAGCAGATCCCAGATGGCCAGGACAGCATCGGGCACCACCTGCAGTGGGAGAACGCCGACGGGGACAACGGGGATTGCCTCCAGCACTCCACAGATAAGCAGGACGGAGAGGATTACCACCAGCAGATGCCAAATCAGCAGGACAGCATCAAGGGCCACCAGGGCTTTCGTCGTCACGCTGATGGACCAGAGAATACTGCCCCAGGTGGCACGCACTGCTCACCCCCGCAGCCAGATGACACTTCGGGGGCAGAGGGTGCCGACCACCTGGGGGGTCAGAAAGAAGAGCCATGCGGCATGGGCCTTCCCCCACCAGACCTTTGGAATGATGGGCGTCACCAGAGAGAACGTGAATAATCTGTGAGTATGAGAAACGACCTGGAGAGGTTGGCTGCCATCTGGATGGATGGCCTGAGCCAGGTACCAGAGGACAACACCAACTGGATGGAGTGGCGCCCGCCCATCCTGGAGGTGGTTTTCTCCAACGGCGGCAACATCGGCCTGGGGCGGCTCCTCAGGCGTTGGCAACCCCGCGCCAGCCTCGGCGACGTCCCCAGGGATCTCTGCGAGCGAGCGTGGCGGCATGCAGCCCCACGCCGCCAAGGCTTCCTCACAGGCCTAGCAGAGCTGGAGCCCATGAGGAGATACGAACTGGAGATGGTGCATTGGCGGGAGCTCGCAGCGCTAAGAGAGATGATGAGGGAGGCGCTGGGCGAAATGGCACCAAGACCCAGAGCGGCACGCCAGCCAGCAGCTGAACCAGAAGGAGCAGCACGACGACCACATGAAGCGATTCCAGGAGCAGGCAGTGGACTGAGTAGTCGACAACCGCAGCAGGCCCGCAACCAGAGCGGCCACCACGCGCTGCAGCAGGCTCACACACGACGACAGCTCGCACGCCAGCTCCAACAGCAAGATTGCGGTAGGCACAACGAAGAAGGCGAGGCCAAGGAGCATCAGCATAACCTCTTGGCGACGCTGGGCATGATCGCAGAAGGAGCCCTGGTGGACCCTGCCAACAGCCACCAGGTCGCTGAAGAAGTCAGGAGAGCAGCCAATAACCTCACCAAGGCGGTGAGGAAAGCGTACACCCACTGGGTGCACGACGCCACGGCAGGCAGCGCCAAGTTGGCCCACGCCTACACCAAGGCAGCGGAGCGCAGCCGCATCGAGGACATCCTGGAGCATGGGCCAGGTGGTCTCGCACCCGCAGCAGCTGGTGGACCTGCGCAAGGGCGCGCGGCAGCGAAGGTGGACACGAGATGCGCACAAGTCAGACCAGATCCAGGACGCGCAGGGCAAGCTGAGGACGGCAGCAGACAGTGCACTCGAGCCCCTCAGCAAGGACATCGCCGGCTCCATCATCCAGCACCTAAAGCGCAACGCGGGCCAGGGAGCTGACTGGTGGAGGGCGCCAGAACTAAAGGCAATGGGCGCCCAGGGGCTCAAGGAGTTCGTGCAGTGCCTCCACAACTGCGAGGAGCGCGCGGCGTGGCCATGGCAGTTCTACTTGCTGTTGGAGCTGCTGCTGGGCAAAAAGCCAGGCATAGGAGGCGAGCGACCCATCGGCCTCATGCCCATGCCCTACCGTATCTGGAGTGCGGCCAGACGGCCCATCATCGCCACCTGGGGCAAGGAGGCGGCAGGTTTCTGGGACACGGCAGTGGCAGGCCCCTCAGCGCTCAGAGTGGCGATGCACAGGCTGATGAGGGCAGAGGCGGCAGTGCAAATGTGCTTCCACGCAGCAGGCATTTCTACGATGTGGCCAACTTCTATGATCACATTGGCCTCGACCAGCTGATCGAGAAGGCCAGCGACCCCAACTTCCCCTTGCTGCCCCTGGCCATGGCAGTGCAGATGCACCTGGCGCCGAGGGCCATCATGGCCCACAGCCTTTTCTCCGACATCTTCGAGCCCGCCAGCAGCATGGTAGCAGGTTGTGGCCAGGCCGTGGACCTCACGAGGCCGCCCCTCTACGGTAGCATGGATGCAGCGCACATGCACCACATCTACGTGGTGATCCAGCAGTACCTGGACGACCTGGCCCTGTAGATCGAAGGAGCAAGAAAGCAGGTCATAGATCAGGTGAAATACGTGGCTGCATTGGCGCACCAGGGTTTCGCGAAGCTCTCCATCCCGATATCCATCAAGACGGCAGTCGAGGCCTCCGACAAGGACCTCCAGCAGGAGATTGCCAGCATCCTGGATGGCCTGGGCACCCCGAATAAGCAGCCAGGGGTTGTCCGAGACTTGGGCGTGGACACGGGGCTGGGCAAGCAGCTGAAGCGGCCTACCCATGCAGCCAGGCAGGCGAAAGCAAAGCAGCGCGTCGCAAAGCACAAGGACATCGCCAAGACGGACGCCAGAGGTGCAGCCAAGGTATACGCAGCAGGGGCCCATTGCCAACAAGTCTGGGACCTGCCAGCGCACGGCACCACCCCCACGGAGGCGACCAAGGTCAGGGCCACAGAGGCAGCGCTGCTCACAGGAGGGCACAAAGCAGGCCGATGCACATCCACCATCCTCCTGATCCAGAGGGGCGCGCAGGAGGCGGTTACCAGGGCCATCGTGGACCAAGTCAAGCAGCTCTGGCTCACCATCGTTGACCACCCGACGGGGCTCAAGCGATACCAGAGAGGTTGGCGCATGCTGTGCGACAAGCTGCAGGCCCTGGGGCCCCACAGGAGGTGGAACCAGGTAAAGGGCCCCATGACAGGCGTCATCGTGCAGCTGTTGGGGCTGGGCTGGAACCCAAGGCGGCTGGACAGCTGGACCAGCCCAGCAGGAGATGGGTGGGCGTACCGACCAGAAGACATCCCACACATCGGAGCGCTTCTCCAGAAGGTCCAGCTGAGTGCTCAGCAACAGCTCTGGCAGCAAGCGGCGGAGCATCGGCACGGTGCAGGACTGCAGGAGGGGGGCGACCTCTACCAGCTGCATGGGCACCTGAGGAGGAGGCGACGCAAAGGGCAACACGCCGAGGCGGCCATGCTGGAGACCATCGCAGTGGCAGGTATTTGGACGAGGGAGCGGCGCAGAGCAGCGAACCTCAACCAGGCAGGGGAAGGCATCTGCGCTAGGTGCGGAGAGGCGACCGAGACGGAAACGCACCGTTACTACACCTGCCCCGCAGACGAGGATATTGACCACAGCAACAACACCGACCTAGCCAAGCAGGCCATCGATGCGCTCGACCAGCGGCAGGACGAGCACTTCTGGCTCAGAGGGGCCCCACCAGCAGCATGGGCAGTAAAGGTTGACCCAGGCGAGGACGTCGAGAGGGCGGCCCACATCTTCTGCACCAGCGCGGGGGCCCAAGCAGCAGCGCAGGTGGGCCACAAAGTCCAAGCCGATTACGTTTTCACTGATGGCTCGGGGGGGGGGGGGGGGGGGGGCATGTGCGACAGCCAAGGGCCCCAGGCTACGGAGATGTGGCTGGGCGGTGGCGGCCTTCAGGTGCGACCAGGGCGGCCTGCCTCAGGAGGTGGCAGCTTGGCACGGCACGATCAGAGCGCCGCACACGGTGCCACGGGCGGAGCTCACGGCCATGAGCAAGGCCATCGGCTACACGACGGCGGCTTCAGCACGTGGGCTCAACATCGCCAGTGATTGTAAGTGCGCCCTGGATGCCCTCAAACAGGTTCAAGACCCAGAGGACCTCGACTACCGGAGCACCAATTTTGACTTCTGGCTCATGGCCAAGCGGTAGCTCCATAACAGCACCGACCACATCATGGGCCACCGCACCCCCAGTCACATGATCGAGCTCCCGACTGAGCTGGAAAAGGTGGGCAGGACCGACGTGGTGGGTCATAGGCAACGAGATGGCGGACAAGTACGCAAGCTGGGAAGCTGAGCATGGAGCGCTGGACCCAGCCACAATCGCGCAGCAACAGATCAGGGACCAGATCGCGGTGGCAGTCCAGAACAAGCTGCTGGGCATCAACATGGCGGTGGTGGTTGAGGATCCCAACAAGGTGGCTCAGCGACCAAAGGCCAAGCACAAAAGGCCACATAATGCCAGGGAGAAGGCAGAGCAGCGCCGCCATGACCTGCGCAAACTACATCCGAGATGAGCCGCCACCTGGACCAGCACGGGAACGCGAGGCTCGATCTCAAGACAGTGCAGATCGGCACGCAGGTCGCCACGACACCCACAAGACGCAGCTCACGCAGGGTTGGCTCTGGTGCGAGAAGTGTGGGGCCACCAGCTACCTTGGGAACCACAAGAGCCGAATTGTTGCAGGAGTGGCGCGCAAGCTGGCCAAGCCATGTGCCCCGCCCACTACAGCGGGCCGCAGGGTCATCACGGACCTGCAGAAGGGGAGGCTGCCGCGAAGAACAAAGCAGGACGTGGAACAAGCGGCAGCCGCGCCACCAGAGGAGGTCACGACAGCGGGTTTCAAACCACGAGCGAGCAGCGCAGGGGTGATCGACCTGGACGGAGAAGGCTCGGAAGCAGAGGCACCGCAGCCAGCTCAGCCGCAACCTCCAAGGCATCCCCACCCAGCAGCCCAGGCGAGCTGGCAGCTAGTGGACCACATGGAGGGCTACGCGGAGCAGTGGATGAACATGGTGGACCAGGACGTGTTGGAGGACAAAGACGACTGGATGGAGCACAGTGTCCCGTACCTGGTCGCCGTCACTAACGAAGGAGGAAGGACGGGCGTCCAAGACCAGAAGAGGGCAGTCACGCCAAGGGGGACCCAGCAGACCATCGACTTCTGCGCGGGCATCTGGAAGAACACCCACAGGGCGCGAAGGAGGCTCATGAAACACATGCTCACCCTCCCGCACGGCTCCAGACAGCAGGCGGCAAGAGTACACATGGAAGCCTTCCAGGGCAGGCGGGTGACCATCCTCACCCACAGCTTCCCCAGCAGCGAGCGCAGGCCATTACCCAGCACGGCGGGCGACTACAGAGCGTGGGCCCTTGAGTGCCTGGACGACAACTCCACGCAACCAGACAGTGAAGTGCCAGTGCTGGAAGGTTATGACAGTGACCACGACATGGACATCATTGAGGCGTCAGACCAGCCCAACGATGCCACAACCTGCGGCAAGACCAGCGCGACCTTTCAGGGGGCGCCGTGGATCGCCAAGCCGACAGGGCCCGACCTGATGAAGTACGCGCGGGAGGCCAAGGACGCAGGCATGCAGCACCCGCGACTCCACCAGCAACGAGGAGACGAAGACCAACCCCATGAGCAAGAGCTGGCCTGGCTTGAGAGGAGCCGCCTGGAGCAGCTCCTGCAATCGCTGGCAGGAGGCTGGACCCAACAAGCAGGCGAGAGCGGCTGGCAGACGTGGAGCGCGGCGTGCGTACCCCATGTGCTGAGGGTGCTCCAGACTGGTCCATGCCAGCGGCTCTTCAGTGACATCCCAGGGCCCAGCAGGCAACGCAGCCAGCGCAGAGCGGCAGAGGGCATCTGCCGCATGGCCTGGCTCAACAGTGGAACGGAGCGCAGGGGGGCTCAGCAGCAGGGCCCGAGTGAGGCAGCTCGACGCAGGGCCACGGCAGAACAGCTCCTCGGAGCGGTCACGCCAGCAGCTGAACAAGAAGGAGGCGAAAAGCATCCCAGCGCGGTGAGGGGTTAGACCGCAGCGGTCCCCAGCGTGGCGAGGGGTTAGGCCACGGAGGTCCCCAGCCCAGTGAGGGGTTAGACCGCGCCGACCCCCAGCGCGGCGAGGGGTCAGGCCATGGCGGACCCCAGCGCGGCGACGGGTTAGACCGCAGCAGGCCCCCGCGCGGCGAGGGGTTAGGCCACGGGGGGGCCCGGCGCGGAGAGGGGTTAGACCGCGCTAGGCCCCAGCGAGGCGAGGGGCGAGGCCACTCAGGACCCCGGCGCGGCGAGGAGGCAGGCCGCAGAGGACCCCAGCGTGGCGAGGGGTTAGGCCGCAGAGGACCCGAGCGCGGTGAGGGGTTAGACCGCAGCAGACCCCCGCTCGGCTAGGGGTCAGGCCACGAAGGCCCCCAGCGCGGCGAGGGGTTAGACCGCAGGAGCCCCCACCGTGGCGAGGGGCCAGGCCACGAAGGTTCCCAGAGCGGTGAGGGGTTAGACCGCGCCGACCCCCAGCGCGGCGAGGGGTTAGGCCACGGCGGACCCCAGCGCGGCGAGGGGTTAGACCGCAGCAGGCCCCCGCGTGGCGAGGGGTTAGGCCACGGAGGACCCCAGCGCGGTGAGGGGCTAGACCGCAGCAGGCCCCCGCATGGCGAGGGGTTAGGCCACGGAGCACCCCGGCGCGGTGAGCGGTTAGACCGCAGGAGCCCCCCAGCGCGGCGAGGGGTTAGGCCGCGAAGGCCCCCGGCGCGGTGAGGGGTTAGACCGCGCCGACCCCCGGCGTGGCGAGGGGTTAGGCCACGGCGGACCCCAGCGCGGTGAGGGGTCAGACCGCAGCAGACCCCCGCGCGGCGAGGGGTTAGGCCACGCAGGACCCCAGCGCGGAGAGGGGTTAGACTGCAGCAGGCCCCTGCGCGGCGAGGGGTTAGGCCACGAAGGGCCCCCTGCGCGGCGAGGGGGTAGGCCGAGGAGGACCCCGGCGCGGCGAGGGGTTAGGCCGCAGCCCCGCGCCAGGCAAGGAGGCCGCGAAGGCCCACGTGCCCAGGGATCTGCGGCCAGAGCGGTCCCTGGATGAGCGCAGAGCTGAGGAGCGGCAGCAGCCGTCCATCAGGCTGCTCCTCGAGCTCTAGAGCGCGGTGGCATCAAGTTCGTCAGACTGCCGCCGCTCGAGGGGTGCGACTCAAGGAGTCACCGAGAGGCGGCGGCATGGGCGCCGTGCGATGAGGCCGCTGGCCCACCCCGCCTCGGGCGCGTCGCCCGCGCGGGGTGCCGAGACCAGGGGCGCCCACTCGCGGGCGTGAGCACGCGGGTTTAAAATCTCCTCCTCCTCCTCTTGTTCCTCCTCCTCCTCCTCCTCGTTATCCTCCTCCTCCTCCTCCTCCTCCTCATCCTCCTCCTCCTCCTCCTCCTCCTCTTCCCCCTCCTCCTCCTCCTCCTCCTCGCAGCGCCTGCGGGGGGAAAGAGGTGGGGCTGGGGCCTAGCACGTCCACGCCTCCTCCTCCGAAGATAGAAGCTTGCGAGAAGAGGGGGGGGTAAGTTGGAGCCATCTATCGCCCCTAGCTCTAGCTACTCCTCCTACCACCTCGTCGCCACGGCTGGATCCGCGAGCGCGAGCTGGGCCGCGTGGAGGGCCAGGGCCGCGATCGCGGACAAGTGGCTGGTGGGGGGCGAAGCGTTGGAGCCGAAGCGGAAGGGGGCGTCTGAATCTAAGCCCGCCGCCATCGCCTACAGCGCAGGGAGCGAGGCCAACCACAAACGGTGCCTGGAACGGAAGTTTGGCAAGACAAGTGCGAGAAGCAGAGTGTGAGAAGTGAAGCGCGGTACCGACGCGTGGGCAGGTCGCTGGAGTGCGGACGCCCGCCCGAGGTGCTGCAGAGGGGAAGCTCGGGCGACGAGGCGCGGTGGAAGACCGCGCCGCCCCGTGCGCGGCGCGCGCCGCGCGGCGGGGAGCCGCGACGGGGCGGGAGAGACTGCCTGCGGCAGAGGGGAAACTCGCGGAAACTCCTCCTCCTCCTCCTCCTCCTCCTCCTCCTCCTCCTCCTCCTCCTCCTCCTCCTCCTCTTCCTCCTCCTCCTCCTCCTCCTCTTGGTCTGGCGAATAACTGCCCGAATTTCCGCCCCGAGCTTCGGCCACGTCCGCAGGACATGTGTTCTGCTGGAAACCGTGGCTTCTGTCTCTAGGCGGCATCCCGGCCAGCGCCGTTACGACAGGTAGCGCAAGTCGACATGGTGACTCGCGGAACTTTCATATTTGTCAACCTCATCATTACCATTGATGCGATGGAAACAATTGCAAAACAAAGGTAGGAAGAGGGAGGGGGAGCTTGAGGGATATAGGAGGAGGTACGAGGAATCAAGGGGAGGCAACAGGCGCTCTGGTGACCCGCGCGGGTCACCGGTGCCCCGCGCGCCCTGGCAAGCGAGGATGGAGGAAAAAGTGGGAGAAGGTAGGAGGGGGTAGGAGGAGGTAGGAGGAGTAGCAGGAGGTAGAAGGACGTTGCAGGAGGCAGGAGTAGGCCGAAGCGGGCAGAGGGTAGGACGAGGTAGGAGGAGACGGGAGGAGGAAGGAAAAGGTATGAGGAGGGAGAAGGGGAAGGAAGGGAAAGTGACAGGGGTGAAAGGGGGTGGGGGGACGAAGGGGCGGGGGCGGCGGGGCATTTGGATGGGGGGGGAGAGGGGGCCTGGCCTCTTCGGGCCATCCCTGGGGCCCGCGCGGGGGTGAGGGATGGAGGGGAGGAGGAGGAGGAGGAGGAGGAGGAGGAGGAGGAGGACGGAAAGGGTGGTGATGTTGATAGTTGATGGTGGTGATGATGGCGGTAATGATGATGATGATAATGAGGATGATCGGGGCTGATAACTGGGGGTGGAGTGGGGGGGTAGAGAGGGGGTTGGAAGGGGGGGGGGCTTAGGCTCCTCATTGGAGCATCGGAGGCCCTCTCAGGACCAGGTTGGGCGCCGTCAGTCAAAAGAGGGGGGTCGCATGTGTCCCCCGCCTGGGCCTCTTGGGGCCCTCTTTGGGCGCTCTTGGAGCGCTCCTGGGCGCTCTTGCTGCTGTCTTGGGCCCCATCATGGGCCATCTTGGAGCTTTCTTGCCAAGGGCCCATCGAAAACGAAAACGCGGAACGGGAAAAATCTATGATGTTGGTTGG